CTCTCTCTCTCTTTCCTATTTTCCATTCCTAACCAGGCTCAATCCTCCTGGTCGCACATGCCTTCCTCTCCTCCCTCTCATTTTCTCCTACTTCTCTCTCCATTAGCTGTCCTCCCCCACTATACCTGAGGTCTGGGGGACTTGTCCCTTCCCAGTTCTGTGAGGGACTTTATATGAATCTCTTAGAATACAACTTGTATCCTAGTTCCTCTGGTGATGTGAATTATAGGCTGGTGATCGTTTGATCTAGGTCTAAAATCCATATATGAGTGAGTACATATTGTGTTCCTCTTTTTGTGACTGGGTTACCTCATTCAGGATGGTTTCTTCAAGTGCCATCCACTTACCTACGAATTTCTACACAATGGAATACTACTCTGCAGAAAAAAATAATGGTATCTTGAAATTCGTAGGTAAGTGGATGGCACATGAAGATATCTTTCTTGTCATTATTCCATGGAGCACCTCAGTATGATAAAGATTTGGGAAGCAAGCATTTAGCTTTTGTCTTTATTTTTGTTGTTATTTTATATCCTAGTCACAGTTTTCCCTCCCTCTTACCTCTTCCCCCACCCCCATCTGCACTTTCTCTATTATTTTTCAGAAAATGGTGGGGCATATTTTCAGACAGGATTTTACTATGTAGCTTTGGCTGGTGTGAAACCCACTATGTAGACCAGACTGGCTGTGAACTCATAGAGATATGCCTATATCTTCTCCCATCCTATCCCAATTTGCCTAACAAACCGTATAAAAGCAGTGTAAGTGATTTATAGATGATTTAAGGCATTTGGGAGGATATGTGTGTATAATATGCAAATACCATGCCATTTCACATGGGTAACCTGAAATGCTATAGATTTAGTATCCATGAAGATCCTAGACCCAAAAGTCTATCAAAGGAATGGTTCTATTTCAGTCTTCCATGCTCTTTCATTATATTAATGCCTGCTTTATATGTTTGGGTACTATGTTAAATATGCATATACTTAAAAAACATTATATCCTTTTGATAATCAATGCATTCATAATGGTTTATTGATTTTTATTTTTGTGGCAATTCTATTTCTGGTACAGACATAGACACTTACACCTTTTCATCAGATGCATAGTTTTAGACATATTCATTTTCAGCTTACATATGTTTTAGACTTAACAGAAACAGATGACATATGGATTTTATCTTGCTTTTTACAATTCAGTCCTCTGTGGCTTTTGATTGGAGATTTTAATCTATTTGAATTTAGAATAATTCTACATGAGTAGGGATTCACTTTAGATTTGTTCATTTCTCTCCAACTGTTACGTAGTATAAGGTACCTTCCTCATAAGCTGTCTTCATTTATGACATGGTAATTTTAGAAGCTGTGTTGTAATTTTTATCAGCTATCTGCTACACCTTTTTTTAAAAAATATTTCTGTGCAGTTTACATCGGACATCTCATAGCTATATTATTTTAAGCTGATTACAGCTCAATATTGGTCCCATTTTTTAAAAAAAATGAATGCCGTAGTAGAGTGTAGGATGGCTGTTGGGGTCCAGTTAAAAACTGAGGTCAAATGATTGCTTCTCTCTTCTTCAGCCATGCATAGGAACTCCTTAACTAATCTTTGCTGTATGGATTTGAGGAATAGTTGTAGCATGTAACATATGTAACATGGTAGCATGAAACTGATGTTCCTACCTTCCTCATTGAGTTTTCTCCCTATTTCTGTGCCCCATCCAGATGGTACTTTCTCACACAAGTGTGGTAGCCTTGAATGGCAGCATCATTTTTTAATCTAATATAATTTTTCATGATGAGATTATTCTGGGCACTCTTTCTTCTCTTCCTTGGTGATATCACTGTTGACAAGTTTGATGTCCTAGTTTGGAAGACATCAGGAAGGAGTATAGATTAAGGCTGTTAAGGAATAGATGTGAAAACCTTCCATGGTCTTCACTGCCTATGCCTGAGCAGTTGCTGTGGTCTTGTGCATCCTAGTAAGAGGAGAATCAATGGAGAAACCTGTTGAAATCCTGCTTCATCATGACTTTGCTGTTCACTCCACTACTCCCAATAGGTGAACCTCATGAGTCAGAACCAGGAATTACAAATTTCCTTTTTACTATAGTGTTATTGTCAAATAGAAATTTACAGAGTGAGAACAAAATTGACACTAATCATACAAATCCCTGGTGAGTGTATTAGTTTCCTGTATAAAAAATGAGAAAATAAGAAACAACTTCTTGTACATGTGTGTGCATTGTGAACAGAAGTGCAGAAAGAAGCAAAGAGGGAAATAGAGTGAAGGCAATTTTTAGTTTATTTTCCTCTACCTGATTCAGAAAGAAACAGACATAGATTAGCAAATATGCTTTCAAACTCTTCTGCTCATTTCTCTCATAATATATGCATTTTGATCTACATATTTTACAATGAACACATGTTGATTTTTTGGGGGGGGATGAGATAGGGTTATCTGTATTGCTTTGGAGCCTGTCCTGGAACCAGCTCTGTAGATCAGGCTGGCTCAAACTCACAGAGATCCACCTGCCTTCCTCCCGAGTGCTGGGATTAAAGGCATGCACCACCAATGCTTCGCCACATGTTGATTTTTAATTACATTTTGCATGTTAGATTTAATGTCAGTGATGAAGTTTACATACTTTTACTTGGCTTATCCATAAGTGTTTTTAACATAGGCTTCCTTTTCTTCTTTGGGTTCTTAAGAAATTATTCTTTAACTCTTTTTCTTCTATTCTTTGTATATTTTTTGAAGTCATATATTTTATTTATTTATTGTTTAAAATTTCATTTTACATTCCAACAAAGTTCTTCCTATCACCTCTCCTCTCCATTCCACCCCTTGACCATCCTGTTCCTTCATTTACTTATCCCTCATCTCCTCCCCTTTATTGAGTCCCCCCCCCACATCTCCAGTATACCCAGGATATCTCTTTTAATTCCCCTTCCCATGGAAATCTGTGTGCCCCTATAATTTAATTACATTTTCTCCTTCCTTTTCCTGTCTCAAAACACAACCATACACCCCTCCCCATTTCCTTCAAATCACCAATTGTTAATGCATGCATTCATAAATGCATATATTTATATATAATCCTAACTATAACCTGGTGAATTCATATAATGTTAGTAGTATATATGTTTACAGGACTGACTATTTGGCAAAGAACATCCATTTGGCATGTTTTTCCCTGGGATAACCACCTCTCCTGCCCTCAGCTTTCCTTGGTTGCCTGTAATTATTTGTGTAGGGTTTAGGCTGCCTGGTTGGTTCTCTATCTTCTTTGGCATGATCATTGGTGTCATCTCCATTTAGCTCATGTTTGGGCAGTCATGTTGGTGAGATTTAATGAGCATAGTTTCTGATATTACTGGGAGACACAATCTCACAGCAAAGTGCCTGATCATGTGACTGTTATAATCTTTCCACCTCCTCTTTCTCACTATTCTCTTAGGAGTATTTTGTAGATATATTTATTGGGACTGGGCTCCACAACTCTACATTTTGACTGGTGGGTTTTTGCAATGGATTCCATGTGTTGAAAAGAGATGATTCTTTTATGAGGAGTGAAGACTGTGTTGATCTGTGGGTATAAGGACAAATGCTTAGATTGTTATCAGGAATTATGCTTGTGTAATAAATTAGCGGATAGTCTACTCTAATAACCATGAATTCATAGTCATTGAGTAGTTTTAGTTAGGTTTTCAGGCATAGTCTCCTTCTTGTTAAGCAGGTTTTAAATCTCATTAGAGAAAAGTTGCATGCTTTTTTTGTAAGAGTCAACTGGACCCCTGAGGAAGGAAAACTGACATCAATGTCAAGCTCAGAAAGCATGAACTTTGCAATGTTGGATTTCACTGATTACACCGTGTGCTGCTTCTTCCATGCTGTGCTCCTTCGGTGGCATGGGGTAGCAAAAAATGACCTCCTCATGAGCAAGGGAATTGGCACACATGTCCTTGGAATGATATTTCAGTGACACATTTCCTTCTCCTTTATGACAGACTGAAATACACCATTATTTGTAACAGCCACGCATACACCTAAGAAATTATCCTGTACATTTGGATCTAATTTATAACTCAGTTGTACCTCCTACTGACATCATCATCTGTTTTGTCACAATTGTAGAACACTAGCAGAAAATTAAATGCCTGCATCAGACTTCTTAGTAGCACTGTCTGTGTTAGTACTAGCTTTCATAGAGAAATACTTAAAATCTATATTTCAAAATCACAGGTGAGAGAAATACTTTATGTTTCAGCGAGAGAAATACTGTTATGAAAAACTTAGTATCATGCAAATCATCACGACAACAATATCAATTGCTACCTTGAATCAAGACTATAGTTCTGAACATTTTCTGTATAAAGTATAGGAAATACTGCTCTGGCAATGTGAGCTATTCTAGACATAAATTATGAAAGCTGAATAAGTGAGCTAGTAGCCCAAGCTCATTCCCAAGTGTGTCATTTTTTGTGGAGAGGATAATTGACTGCTGCAGTATATACATGAATTTAAGTTTTGTTCTTAAAACATTTTAAAGTGATAAAGGAGAAATGATCACTATGCAGAATCCAAAGTTTATTGTCTCTCATTGAGACTAAATTTTAAAACATATAGATTAATGAACCAAAATTTGAACTTGCTGTGGGTGTGTTGAAAAGCAATATTTAATTCTGAAAATCCACAAGAATCTCTGTACATTGTGATTATTTTCCTAAAAAGAAATGCAAAAACAAAAAGCACATATCTACCCAGATGCAGCCAATGCTTTTCCTCCATATGGCATTACTGGCCACTATTAAGAGTCACCTGATCAAGCTGGATAGATATTTCTTGAAATGATGCATGGTTTGCCGTGCATGCCTTCATTGTGCTTACTGCCATTATGGAATAATGCGTCTTATTGGGAAAGAGAGTGATTATTTCTGTGGAATCTTGATCAGTCAGATACTATAATAACACTGATACTTTGTGAATCATTTCAGATTTCAGAGAGCTACGCCTTCCTACCAAGAGAAGCAGTTACACGGTTTCTAATGAGCTGTTCCGAGTGCCAGAAAAGAATGCACTTGAACCCAGATGGAACTGATCACAAAGGTAGCCACAGTACCCAATAGAGAGATTTGAAGTAGTGTTTCTTCATAATATCAATTTGTACCTCACATTTTATAAAAATGTAGATGATAGAAACAGTTCAACAAGTCATATCATCTCATTTATTTAAGAGCAGTGGATCCTAACTTACAAAGTAATTCAGGGTCCATTCCTAGAAGGTAGTTTTGTTTATGCAAGTAAGTTTTTGATAATAATCTTTTGTTTGGTGTTATTTCATGGAATTTTAGCTATACCCAGCAAGAAAGTCCAACATTATTAATAACCTTTCACATCTATGGAATCCTTATTTCCAGAAGTAATAGCATAATTTGACTTTCCATTCATTGAAATTATACAAATAAGTTACCTATGAGGTTAATCTTTCCGTGTGCTGGAATGTAGTCTATCTCCTAAATGAAATTAAGAATTACAATATAATTTCCTTTGACTCCTAGTAATTTACATATAAAACAGCTGTTTACTGAAAGATTGTTTTGTTGTTTTTTAAGACAAGGTTTCTCTGTGTAGCTGGCCTCGAACTCACAGAGATCTGTTTGCCTCTGCCTCCAAACTGCTGGATTAAAGGCATGTGCCACCACCATCTAACTTCACTAAAAGATTTTTAAATGATTAATCAGCATACTAGTTTTATTTATTGTTATTCAGGTTACTTAAGTCACTCTACAGTAAGAAACAGTGGAGTTGTCCAGTCTTTGAAATTGGGCCAACATAATTTGTAGAAATTTGCATGTTATATTTGTATAATTCATCTACAGTGCTTTCATCTTTTTTAATCATTAATTGCTGAAGAGTATATTTTAATTAGACATATCGATTCACTCTGAAGGTGCAGCTCAAATAGAGTGTTACATTCATCATGGATTTAAAATGTTCTGTTGCAGATAATGGCAAGCCTCCTACATTGGTGACCAGCATGATTGACTACAATATGCCAATCACGATGGCATACATGAAGCACATGAAACTGCAGTTGCTAAACTCACAGCAAGATGAGGTAAACCAGAAACATCTGTGATTGCATTATACATATTGGCGACAAAGCTCTAGTCCCATGACTATGGGGTTGCTCATGGTGCCACTTGAAGACTTTAATTTATATTGTTAATGAGAATAAATGTCAGGACCTCACTGATTCAGAAAAGGTGCAGACGTGCCACAGCCTTGGATACAGAGTCTTTGGATGAATTCATCTTCCTTAGTGCTATGTGAGAAAGATTCCTTTTTTCTCACTAAGTCACCACCAAGGAGGCAGACTTGGTGAAGAGCTAGGAAGTCCTGAGCATCCTTACCAGAGAGGAGACAAGGGCAGAGAACCTCTGAAACTGTCTTCTCTGAGAAACTGAAAAATCAATTCAAGATGACTTCCAGTATAACCATTTCCCTACCGGTCACATATATACCTTTTTAAGTCATGTTTCCCCATGAATTATTACTTAGTAATCTTTTTGTTTACACATCTTAATTTTTGGGAGATAATTTGTCACAACTCATTTTAATTATTGATATTTTCATGTTTCAAATTATTGTATTTTATTTGAATCTAGCAAAGTACTCTCATATGTCAGACATCAAAGATATGCTTGTTTGATATTTTCTAGAACTCTAGTTCTATTTTGACAAAAGAATTTTAAATGTGTATGTGTATGTTTATGTGTATGTGTGTGACTGTGTATGTGTGTGTGTGTGTGTATGTGTGTAATAGTTTGTGTGTTTATCTCTGTGTTTTCGAGTTTACACATGTCTATATGTGTTTATAGGTATATATGTGTGTTTGTGTGTGTATCTAGGTGAGTGCCTGTGTGTGTATACTCATATTCATAAATAAGCAAAGATAATCGACACATTGTGAATTTAGCAAATCCTCACTAACTAGTCCCCATTAACTAGAAGAGATAGTCAGATTATCAGTGTTGGACATAGACCTTCAGACTAATACCTTTCCTCTTTGAACTTTCCTTATAGCAGGAAATGTGGTTAAATATTTACTTTTAAAATACTACATGCAAGCTTATTAACACTAATTTTTTTGGCTACATTGTTCATAAAATTTAAACCCATCTTTTTGTTTTTCTCTGTACATGACAAAGTTTTAATCTTGAAATTGTAACATTACTTATCTCCACAGATTTGGGGTTCACTTTCTAATTATATCTGTGAAGTGGCCATATTGCATTAAATATTACCAGATGGCCAACAATAAATGATTGAGATAATGGTAATAAAGCCATTATACTAAAGACCTCAAAGCTAGATTTTTAAAATGTGTCTGTTATTAAGATTGAAGGAACTTACACACTAGTCATTGCAGAGTTGAGAAATAATAATGTCTCATAGAAAATCTAAAGCTGTCAAATTATTTTCAGGAAGCTAATTTGGACCTTGATAAGCTTATTTCTATTCCCCAATTATGATCAGCTTTGTGCCAGCCACACAGCCCTCATATTCTGAGTCCTTATCACTCTAAAGCATAATACATGTTTGAACTAAAAAGCCAAGCCTTTAAAATTATAATTAGACAAATTATCCTTATTATCACAGTTTGAAATTATTAAATTGGATACATACTGTTTAAAAATATTAAAAGAAATTACTTGTCATTAGAGTCATTAGAAAATTTTAGAAAAATGTACTACAGATTTGAGAAGTTGAATAATATAAGTCATTCTGAACTGAAATTCAAAGTAAATCTTTATTATAAGTTGTATTTTAATATAAATAAGAATTAATCCAATAAACTCACCAATATTTATCGAGTACCTCTTTGTTACTCTTTGAAATAAAATTAACAAAAAATCCTGTATTTATGAAGCAGATCTTGCAGTGAAAGGAAAACACAGTAAAGAAAGTAAACCGTAATTCTCAGCAAGTAAAACGATGTTTAAATTCTATTAAAAGAAGAAAGGTCAAAAGGTAATCTGTGCGTTGCAAGTCAGTTATAAAGAACTCACCTCCTGCATGTGAAATCTTGGGTTCAATGCCAAGTACCCCAAAAGTGAATAATTGGGTGAACAGAATAAAGAGAATAAAAATGTGGATGACATTATTTCAGAAAAATGGAAAGAAATGAAGTGTGTTGTTAATTAATTCTATTGCTGTGATAAAACACCATGACCAAGGCAACTTGTAGAAGAAAGTTCCTTTTGGCATTTAGTTTCAGAGGATTGGAATCTATGATGGCTGACTAAGTTAAGGAAGGGCAGGAAGCTGAGGGATCCCATCTTGAATTACAAGCACCAAGCAGAGTGTGTGGAGGGAATGGCATGTGGCTTTGAAACCTAATACATTGCCCCCAATTATATACTTCCACTAGTAAGCCATACCTCCCAAACCTGCAAGACCAGTGCAAGTGGGAACTATGTATTCATAGAAGTCTATGGAAGACTTTCTGATTCAAGCTACCACAATCTTCTTCTTGGCCCCTATTGGCTCATGTCCATATCATAATGTAAAATACATGCAATCTAACACCCACAGTCCTCATAGTTTTTCAGTCTCAAAATGGTTTATATGTCCAAAGTCTCTTCTACAACTCATGAGAATCACTTAACCGCTAGTTCTGGCAAAAGAAAACAAAACAAATCAGGTAATTATATAATACTAGCTTTTATTGATACAGAATAAATATTACCAGAGGGAAGAAATCTGCACATACTGGACCAAAGCAAGCTGGAATTTAGTAGGGAAAACCTAAATCCTGCAGTTCCGTGTCCAATATTAAAGGACTTAGATTGCTCTGTCCTCCAAGTTTTGCTGTCTACAACACCCTTTTCCTTTCTGAGTAGTGAGAATTTGTTTTAGATAGTGCAAGGTGAATGGTAATGGAGATTTTTAGAAATATTCCTCTGTCTACTGACAGTTCTTTTGTGATAAAGAAAGCAAGAGCAAAGTTGTTGGAGAAGCTGTTAGAAGTTTAAGAAAAAAATGGAAAAGTTGAATTTTGATAGTGAAGAGTGAGGATATTTGACTCATGATCAGATAATTTTATAAAATAATTTAAATGAATGCACATGATTGTGTTCATTTGTGTGGGGGCATGGGTATAGTGAGGGAAAAGTAAAACCAATTATTTGAATATTATTAAAAATGAGGTCATATAAAGGACTTTAGACATGTTATGGAATCTTGGTCATTAGAGAGCTGGTGATGTAGCCACAGGTCGCTGAAAAGGTGTTAGAAATAATTGATTATAAACTGCAGTGAGATGTATTAAAGGGAGTGATACAGAAAATTTGAGATGCCATATAAATTGGGATTTCCTAGTGGACACTTCCAGTCCAATGGTAACATAGATGATCCTGGTGAAACTATGTGGGTCACAAAATGAAAACCAAAGTCATGGAGATTATATATTTGTAGTTTTTGGTGATGAATGTATGGTCAATGATTATGGGATAAACTTGGCTTTAAAAGTTGGAGAGTATGATCATTAAAGAACCCATCATGAAAGTGAAGATCAAGTAACTGATATAGCCACAGGTTACAGTGTGATGAAATCTAAAAAGAAGTCAGGAAAAGAAAGGATGGAGCTGCAGAAAGAAGCATGGTTGCCCCGGACAGAGTGTAGGGCTCTTTGCTATAGTTTTGGTAAATGTTTTATACATTTAAAATGAAAGCCTTGGAAAGCACGGTAACAGGACATCTGCAATGAGAGTTTCATGGAGTGGTTTAGAGGGAGGAAAGGGAAAGGAGAAATATTATAATTTATGATCTCAAAAATTAAATAGTATACTATTCTTTGTGTTTTAATTGTTTGTACTTGACATTTTTGCCAAATTAGCCATTTTGTAAACATTTATGTGACCTGACTTTTACTGAGAGTTTTACACATGTTATATAGAACTCCTCTTTCATCTATCTGTCTGTCTGCCTGTCTGTATGTCTATCCATCCATGCATCCATCCATCCATCCATCCATCTGTCTAACTATCGTCTTCAATATATATATCATCTTTATTCATAAAATATGTTAATTCCGTGTTCTATATTAAGTTCGTTGAATCTGTAATACATCTTTGTTTATTATTGAGTCCATCCTGTTTGTTGATGAAAAATTTTCACTGCATTATAAGATCTGTGCTTACACTATTTTACAGAAGCATTTTGTTTATTGTACAACTTACATTTTTCTTTCCACCATGTTTTATCATCACCTCTTTTATGATAAATTCATTAAGACGCGCATTTTTATTTTAATGCTCAGGCTAATTCCTAAATTACCTCCAATAAAACACATTATTCTACCTTTAAAATGGTAATGTGAATAATGTTGTTTGAACATCCAAAATTCTTAACATTTCTAAAAGGGAGAAATAATTCCATCATTTATTGTTCCAACCATTTATCAGTATGCACCACATTTTACAGAGTCTGGTAATAATTTACAAACTGGCTAACTTCTCATTGACCACAGAGACAGTTAAATTTTATGGTGCCTTATGATATTTTTAAACAATTTCAGGATGAAAGTTCGATAGAAAGTGATGAGTTTGATATGAGTGATTCAACACGGATGTCAGCTGTGAACTCTGACCTCAGCTCAAATCTGGAAGAAAGAATGCAAAGTCCCCAGACTCTCCATGGCCAGCCAGACGGTAAGCCTTTGACACTGAACAAATGAAAAAACAAAGCATTGAGGGCAAGCAATGAGTAAGAATCTATTAAAATCAGAACCACCTCTTCACTCTTGTGTCCATTTTTAAAAATCTGTTTCTATGGAGACGTTTTCTGGGCACTCAGGTTATGTCATCCACTTTATTATTTTTAGATTTAAGTACTCTTTTCAAAATGTAAGTGTTAGACTGATTTATAAAAAGATGTTAGTTATAAAATCCAAGCACATCACTGTTTTGCTCCTCAAATATAAAATGTGCTATAGGAGTGCCGTTGGATATCTATGATGTTGCTTTCTGGCTTTGGTTCCTTATGTCATCATTTATTTTTGAACAAATGAAGAGTTTAAAGATTATTAAATTTTTGTTGACCTAACAGATAGTCCCAAATATAAAGGATCATATATTAAAGGACAATCTCATCAAAGGGATATTGTAGGAAGAAATTACTGTGATCCTGACCTCCTTTCTTGCCTGAAGCAAGGAAGCAATGACTATCATTTTCTATTCCAGAATCTCAGAAAGATTCATAGGTCCTCCCACTGTTGTTAAAGAAATAAAAAACTCTTTGTATATTTTTGTCACTGTGAATTTATAATTTGATGCAAGTGAGTATGATAATAGGTATAAAATAGAAACCAGAGAATTTCATTAAAATTCAATCATATATCAATTTGCATGGTTCTTTTGACTGGTATGTTTTTTCACTGCATTAGTACATAGTAAAAAAAAGCTATTATTTTTGTTTGTTTGTTTGTTTTGGGGGTTTTGTTGTTTTTTGCTTGTTTGTTTTTCCTGAAACTTGACACTAAAAGATAGTTTTAAAAGTTGCCAGTATTTCAGGCTGATTCTTCATTCAGTGTGCACTAGCAGGCTTAAGATATCCCTAGTGTTCAATACACTAATGCCCTCTGGATGGGGTCCTTCTATTTTCCTCATTTTAGAAGAGTCTATGTGGAGTGGAAGTCACATCATTTTGATTTATAAGAAAAAGATAAGAAGGCTATGAGTGACTTCACGATTATGACTGACTTGCTATACAGTAGAACAGCTGTTCAGCAGAAAGTATTTTATTTAGGAACACTATAAGGAAATTGTCACTTTAATATAAAGTAAATAGATATTCCTCACATGTTAATGGTGTCAGCATCACAAAATAACTGTTAAGTGTATATCAGTTATTATATATGTCAGTTATTATGTATATGTATATACATTATAATCAATTAAACTTGCCTTTTTATATACTCATTCTGTTCATATGTAATTTAAGAGAATATGGAGAATGTACATTTCAGGGCAATGACTTTAATCATGAAAACTCATTGTTTTCTTGTAGATCTTTGGCTAGGGCACAACACATGTGATGAAAATCTATACTGACTTAATAAGATGCCATGGAACAACTTCCAATATTGTCTGCTGAGTGTTCATGCCTGATGCACACGAACATTGGTTAGCTCTTACCCAGCATCCTTGTAACCCCCCTCTTAGACATTGGGAGCTCCCCTAACAATCAATGTCCATTGAGATTTCCTGGGAATCACTTCTCCATCTAATATTGAGAGGTTTTCCCATCCTCATATATTATTTGGATCATGACCGGGAAGTAAGATAGTGAGATCTTAGCTTTCCCATCATCTTGATGTCTCTGGGCCACTTTCTGCTCACAGATGTTAGGTGTATTCCTTAATCCTCAGCAAATGTAATCATGTTACTTTCAAAAACATTTGAATCCACATGAATCCCGGTTTTCTTTTTCAAGACCTGGTATCTATAAAAGGACATCTGCTAAAGACCCACCTCTGTCTATCCATGCCCTAATTGTTAACATTATTCAGATAATTTATTACCATGTGAAACTATATTATTTTCTCATTTGTTATCCTTTTCTCTTCAATATTGCAAGAATTATTAATTCATAAGTCTTCTCAAACTATGAGTTTCCTGTCATGTGCTCCATTTCAGATAGTTCTTACATATTCTGTCATTTAAATAATTAAGGTATAGCTTTCCAAGGTAATTATGGTTTGTAAAATGAGTTTTACATATTTTCTTTCTTCTTCCCTAGTAATGTATTCTCCTAAGTAATCCATGCTACCACCACACTGTGTATTTCCTAATACCCCTTTATGCATATGTGCAAGTGCACACACACAAACACCCATAATATTTGTACTATTTTATCATACTTGTTTTATAATTATGGTGTGCTCTTTATCCTATGCCATTCACACCCAATTATCCTTCTTTTACAAGTAAAATATATGTGTGTGTGTTTGTGTTGTGGCATGTGTCTATAAAATATTGTGTGTGCAGACACATACATGTATCTTTGTATGTAATGGTGAGGAAACAAATAAGTAAAATGTTTCAAGGCATAGCCCCAAATTTAATCCAAGGTACAAAATAAAGAAATTAAAGTTATCTGTCTAACCTGTATGCTCTTTACAAATAAAAACTTTTAGTAATAACATTTTAAATATCTGTATCTTGTTAAAATAACTGGAATGTTTTAAGTACTAAGTCAAGCTTAGCTTGGGATATGTTACTGTCTTGTGGATGCTGTACATTGGTCATCAGAGTGTGTGAGAAGGTAAAGGCTTGGGATGTAGCCTATCTAATTTTGGGCAGACTCCTACTGTGGGCCCAGCATAGAATTCAGGGGGCAGAGTTTCTCCATGATTCTCATAAGGAGAATTTCTAGGTGTTCTTCCAGCTACTGACTACATGGTCATTTCACGTTTCCCCCTAGAGAGAAGTGTGGCATCCCCAGATATGACAAAGGTGTCCTTGGTGGGCAGGGTTGCAAGCAATTCCACAGTTACAAACAACTAGATTAGGCAAGAAAGAAGAGCCTGTGAAAGACAGAAGCTGGCCATTGAGGAGAAACCAAGGGATAACTTTTAAATAGAAGTCTGAGAAAAGAGTAGGAAGTGTGACACAGTAGACATATATGAGGAATGTTCTATGATTATGCTGTTCCATATGGTGGTCACTGTCCATACAGTGGGCTCAACATACAGATAGTTTTCAATATCAATAGCATATAATTTAACTTTAAATGACTGCACATGATACCAGACAGTGCAAGAGTAATATTTTATTGTTAGGGAGTGCTCTCCTCTGTCTGTACCAATAAGTCAGATATTTCAAAAATGTTAGGAGAAATTGTGGATAAACTCCTATTTTAATTATTGGTCAAACTTCCATTTTTTTTTGTATCTGAGATCTTTTATTGTCCTCGTATTTTTGCGTATTATTTCATGCTTACAGGGTTTCATGCAGTCCAGGCTGGCCTCAAATTCCTCATCCTCCTGTCTTGTCCTCACTATGACCATCTGAAACACAAACAGTGTGATTTCTAAAATCTGAACAAATAAAATTTTTTAAAGTTAGAGTAAAACATTCTATTTTTCTTTAGCATCCATTTGGAAGTATTTGCTAAAGAGACTAAAGTGGATGTTGTGGGTTTTTGAAATTCCTAAAATTGTAACATAGGCACCATATAAAATGGAGAATTAAAATTAAAGTCTTTCTTTTCTGTTTTCATTTGACTACTGTTACAAAAGATTTGTATTCTAGTCATCAGATTCTGGTATATTGGGGAAATGCAGGAAAATGCTTTGTGCAGGGTTAGATAATTAAGCAAAGGTCAAGAAGACAGACTGAATGAAGAATTTATGAGAGAGGTATTTAAAAATCAGCATAGAATTGTTTTGGGTTTTTTTTTTTTTTTTTTTGGCTTATTGCAGTTCATTTTGCTTCCCTCACTCAGCAAAAGCATAAAGATAAGAAATAATAGTTCCTATCTAAAAATAAAACCAAAACTATAAGAAATACTTAAAAAACAGTTTTTGCACAGGAAGCATTTTACCCTTAATTTTGGTTTCATGAAACCATATTGTCAATGTTTAAATGGTTTAATAGGCTTAAAAGAATATCTTTGGATTAAATTCACATAAAGGCTCTGCTTGCATTTGAGTTTGTTTAAACCGAGGAAGCATGTGATCTTCAGTGTAGATTTGGAGGCTAGAGAGCTTGTTAGGAATACAACTTGCCATGCAGTGGCTGAGGCCACTGACAGACCACAGCTGCTTGGATTTTGAACTGCCTGTTTGTTACTTTTCATGCTATGGCATCTATTTAAATAGATCCCAGGGGAAAAGGCCACTTGCTATGTTCTCACCTTTACATCTCGGGTCCTAGAATTCCTTAAGTTCCAAATAGTCTTTCCTCCTCTGAGTGGTTGAATTGCCACCAGATGCCTGCAGTATCTGACACTTTTTTTTCTGCAGTTGCCTGGGACAGGATAGCTGGCCAGACTGTCTGCCCTAGGAGCAGACTTAAGCTTTGGTTTAATGGTGCATTGGATTGTCTTTGGTAGGGTCAATTGTGTTCAACAAAACAATCTACTTGGTTTTCTAAATTAAATAATATACAGTAAACTACTTCTGATATATTTTGTAAGAGGATATCTGCACCTGATTTAACTCAAAAACGTTCACTTCAGATTTCTCTCTTTCTGTAGTCACAGTGAGCTGTTTCTTCCTCTTAAACAAGATAAAAAGGATGTCAAAGGAAGCTGAGACACATCCTTATAAATATCTGCTCTTCATATTAATCAGCTTTAAAACCAAAGGTTTACAAAGAATATGTCTATTCTTACACTTTTCTATTATTGGGTAGTAACTTCATGTACATGGTGTCCTTGGATAGCTAGTCAGGGCTATGACTGCAGCCATTCAGCTCAACCAATGTAGCAAATAAGAGAATTTTTTTCCTAGGCAAATTGGGTTTTGTGTTGTGTTTGGTATAGTCTTGCAGGGCACATCCTAAAAAATGCGTCACTAAGTGCTTGTACCACTGTGTGAACATTAGTGTGCTTCCATGTCACTGAAGAAGGTGTTGTTATGGGAACACGATTACACATATGATCACTCTGCCATCTACTGAAGGCTATGTGGCTCATGACTACTTCA